TATAATCCCAGTTTTTTCCAAAAGGAACTCTTTGGATCTTGAAATCACAAGGTCAGAATTAGCCTCTGTGATATTGAGACAAATATACACATGCACCAATGTGGAAAAAAGTACTTTTCTCACTTACATTAAAAAAGAAAAGTAAACTGTGTAGTTTGTTCAGGCTGAGTAAAGATCATGTATTCAGACTTTTATTACAATAAAAAATGATTCAGTGCAATTTTATTGGCTTGACATCTGTTAATAAACCATAAAACAGACTGCAGCAACACATATTTTCTTTATTTCTAATTCATAATCTGTATTTGAACATACCTAGAATTCAAAATCATGCTCTATTAGTCAACACATGAAATGTTTGTAAATATTAGCATGTGCACAAAGTTGAGATGGTGGATACATTACAAGCATATTTGTGAATAAATATGTTGGTATAATACATGTGACATTTTTACAGTGGTCTTTTTCCTTCAAGTTTAATATTCAGCCTAAAGTACTTTCCTGAGACACATCACATCAGAAAACATTAATAACATTACATACAGATTAAAGAGCTGGAGCTGATTTTCACTCTTGTCCAATGCCCTTTTCATTAGTTTTATATACAACATAATTTAAAAATAGGCGTATCTATTTCTTGAAAATGTTCTTGCATCCCATTCAAGCGTAATAGACTCCTTAACAAGTGACTGTAACATTAGACTGGTTTACTGTGAACCAGAGGAGAAAATATGACAATATTCAGTGTTATGGGATTCATACGATTGAACAAGGGCAAAGAAAACACTTGGAGAGTAGACAGTGCAAAGTCTGAGTCTAGGCTCTGTGTCTTTGACAGTGCGATGCAAAGGGCCTGAAGAAAGGGTGGGATGTTGTTACATGTGTCGCTTAGTAGGAGGTGGTGCAGATGGCGGCTGCTGCTCGTTGCCCCTCTGCTGTGTGGCAGGGGCCTCAGGCAGCATGAAGGAGTCAGTGGAGTTGGTGCTGAGGCGAAGAGGAGCCAGACGGCGCAGGTTGCTGGGGGTCCAGGGCAGCCTCACCTGGGCTCGCTGTGAAGGAGCAGCAATACTACTGTCAACCTCAGTGTCTGCAAGCCACGGAGGGATGTGCATCGATGCCGTGGGGTCCGGATCTGGCATGAAGGTTGGGTTCTCAATTCCAGCTGGATAAAAAAATTAAAACTGAATTAGTACTGACAGAGTCTGAGGGTTAAAAATAAGTGAGCAAGATGGAGGGTTTGTGTGACCTCCTGCTCTGTAGGTGACCCTCATGGGGAGAGAACCTGGGACATCATAGCCGTTGGCGCTGTCTGCCTCTGAGAACTCAAAATCTAGAGGAAGACGGATGATTAAAAATATTTCATGAAGTACTTGATTAGTTTAGGACTTGTAGTTTTTAAAACTGTAGCAGGTACAAACCTTCATCCCCAGAGTGGTAGCTTTTACATTTGTCTGCTGAGTTTCCATTTGGCTTCTGCAGTAGGAGGAGAAGTCACAGAATTTGTAAATTACATGTTAAACATACACAAACAACATTCAGTCAGCATATTCTGACTAGTCAACTCTGAAAACCCATCTTTTTAGACAGGCCTTTGGTATTTAGCTCGTCTTAATCTTAACTCGTTTTTAACTCGTTCCCTGTTGTTTTATGCTGTTTCTTATTCTGATAGGGATGTCTTTTATTTTGGGGTTTTTAATACTTTGTAGTTTGTTTTGTATAGGTTTTTGTTTTAGTATTGTCTTGTATTAGTGTCCTTTTGTGAAGCACTTTGGGCTCCTGCCGAGTTGTAAAGTGCTACATAAATAAACTATTATTATTATTATTATTATTATTATGATAGTACAGCTGGGTATTATTTGCATTCTTTGGTACTAGTCTTACAATACCAAAATGATACTTTTAAATTACCTCACTGTGATAAATATAGTAACGTTTTCAGTTGTTATGTGATCAGAAAATATGTTTGCAAGATTATAATTCCAGACTAGGAAGATATTAGATTGTAGATTTCTGTACTCAGCAGTTTCATGTATGCTATACTGTAGATGGTCCAATGAAAATAAGTCCTTAGGCTCTGACCTTTTGTTGCTGGTCTTTCTTTGTGTGCTTGCTAATTTTCTTTGGTGGAGCAACTCCCATCTTTGCAGACTTAAAGGACTCCAAACGTCTCCTCATGGTCCTCTGGAAGATCTCCTGCACCTCATTTTCATCTGTGTTGACACTGAAATTGCTCCGGCTGTACCTGTGCAGGTGCTACAAACCAGAAAACAATAGACAAGAATGGAAGAGTCAGTGTGAGTATTAAAAAAGCACAAGAAGCCAAAGAAGAGTTTATCTTAAGTTTCAGCCAGTTTAATGACAATGTAATAAAGATATGCTTATAATGAAGTAGCTGAACCTGTTTCCTGCCCTTGTACAGATGCTGCTGCAGCAGGTGGTGACTGTCCTCAACTCCATTCATTCCTTTTATGGCCTGTTCATGCACTTCCAGGCACACTGACGGCACAGGATCTCTTCTACATGGAAAACAAGTTAGTTACTTGATGCAATTTCACACTCAGGCACAGCATTAGTTTAGGCTTCTCATACAAAATATTGTGTAGAACTGGAGCTAGGTGGTCAGTGGTCCATATAAAGTTTCTCTTATTGATTTGTTTCCAGTTATGGAAAAACTGTTGAGGCCTCCTGTGGTCACCAGGGGGCAGTGTCTGAGCAGATCTAATGTAAGCAGATGTTCAACTCTGGTTTATCTCTCCTGTGGTTATGTTGGAGAGCAGTTAAAGGGTTTGCTCACCTCATACTGGACCCCCTGTTATAATGGCTTGATGTGTCGGCCATGATGTCAGACATAACCTCTGAGAATTTGTCATCAAACTTTTTCGTAAAGTCAATGAATGCACTTTCATTGCGGATAAACTCCAGAGAGCCTTTGCGTTCACCCTGCAATAACAAGACCGCTGTCCGTTACACATCATAGTATGTCCACTTGAACAAAATATACTCGACCAAACAATAAATGACCCTCACCTCAGCCACATAGCTCATAGCATCCTTGAGGTTCAGCCGATGGAAGACGGCGAAGATGTTGTCACGGTTCTTCCTCACTGAGGGCTTCAGCAAAAGCTTTGACAGCCACTTGTCCTCAAAATTATTCCACCTTCACATCGAGTGAAGAGAAAATTGTAGTTTCATTCAAACTCGCTGAAGAAAATTCACTGCAGTAGTTCAATTATTTAAGTTGGCTTTACATACTTGTCCCTCATGTAGTTATGTCCTATTTGCCCAGATATGTCTTCTATGGCAACTAGCATATGATCAAACACCTATACAACAAGAAGAGAAAGACTGTAACAATTGGAGAATGGTAGTTTATAGTTCCTGCTGTTGTGGAATATTTTTGGAGCTTTACCTTGTTCTGCACTTTTTCTATGAGTGAGTCCTCAGACACTGAAGCTTTCTTTACATTGAGCCACGTGACCAGGGGTTTCATTGTTATTCCCTGCAAAAAGGAAAAAAAATTCATAAATGTGTAAAATTAATAAAAGTTAAATACTGTAAATGTTTGTATTGCATAATTAAACTAAAAATACAACTGTACTAATATACTATTTTACCAAAATAACAAGACAGAGAAGTGGTCACCTGAATAATGACAGTGAAGTACACTACAATGAGGGTGGTGCAGAGCATCAGGTTCTTCTCCTTTATCCTGGTCTCATCTAGCATCACAGCCAGGCCATATGCAACAGCCCCTCGCAGGCCACCATAGCTGATAATCACTTGATCTATAAGCCCTATGGGGACCAGCCTGAACCTATTCAGGATCCAGGTGAGGATAAATGTTCCTGTAGTACACACACATAAAAACACACAAACACAGTTTGTTTTGTGACCCTTGACATCGTGTTGTGTACTGTTTCCACTCAAGACAGCATGAGACATGCTCTCACCCATGAATCGGTATATTAATATGAAGAAGAGCGTGAGCAGGATGAAGCCTGTGTTCCACACCCAAATTGTCTTATCAATGGCCGAGATGCCAAGGAACACAAAGATAATGGTTTCAGACCCGTTGGCAAAAACCTTCATGGCATATCTGACTGTGTTGACAGAACTTTCATCCATGTTTGCATTGATGTATTTCTGGCAGCATATACCACAAAAGACGATTCTACAGAACAGAAATACAAAAATAAACTTCATGTGACTAATATGTTTAGGACTTTTATGCTTCACTAACAGTCAGAAGTTTTAGATCATTTCCATTTTTCCAGTTTTTATTAGTGTATTTCAACAGCCAAACACACCTGGGACATTCTCTCTACAACTGAAATCAAACATATCTGGGGCTTTGCTTTCAGTCATTATCTGGAAAGTCTGGACACCGTGCTGCCAGTCCATCACATGAAGCCGGTCGCTTTGTTGTTTCCTTCTACACAGCCTGGAGGTGGTAGACATTTTTCGTTTTCGGTGACTATGTTTTCTTTTTATCTACTTCTTAGTTTTGTAACATTTAAGGTTAATCACTGGGCTTGAACTGTTGACATGTCAATAAACACTGGAAAACTGGGGGCGTTCTCAAACTTTTGTGTGAAAATCCTTCTTTAAAATGGGCACAACAATAAGAATAAACTTCTTCCCTTGAGTACTCACGAGAGGATGGCAGACAGGGATAGCATCTCTGCAGTCAGGTAGGAGAGGTATCCCAAGATAAAGACAAAGCCTGCCTCAATAATCTGGATATTTTTAGTGCATCTGGTCAGAAGAGAAATCAGGATGCCAAATGCAAAGCCCAGGAGGGAGCCACCAAATGCCACCACAAAGAAGGAAACTGGAGAGAAAGACTTAAGTTAGTTTCATGTTATCCAACACAATTTTTATATATTCTATTTAATGGACACTCTTATTCAGTATTGCCCAAAGTAAACACCTCTATGCATATATACAGCATCTCTATAACCAAACCTCATTACACCATATGCACAGTTACATTCTATTAATAGGTAAATAAATGTCATATATTACTTATTCCTTTAATGATCTCCACAGCATTAATTTTTGATCCTCCAAGTGTAACAAATGCATCACATACATTGAAGAGTACCTGAGAAAAAAAGCAGAAAATAAAATGATTGATCTCTGAAGGTGGAATAATCTAAAAACAGATATGACACATAATCTGATCTCTATCTATTAATATCAGTTAATTCAATTAATAAGAATGTTCTTATTTCTGTAATAACTGTTTATCTGCAGCTCCTCTGTTGTCTTTGAATTGCCTGTCACAAGGTCTTTTCAAAGTTTTTTTTGGATATTTGACAATCTGTTCAGATAAAGTAGGTAGACTTTTTTACAAACTTAAGAAAAATTTGTTTGTTTTTTAACTGACCTGTTTTTTGTTTTTTTTTTGGCTTACCTATTCACGTCAGTGCCTTATTGTTATCCTCATATAAATATATTGTAGCACTGGGGGAGGAGAGACACTTGGCGGGATCCCCCATAATACCCCTGTGGACAGGCTGTATATAGTTCAAGGCATTGTGGTGGTAGTGTGTGTGCAGTGCTCGATGTGCTCTATGTGTTTTCCAGCTGTGTGCAATAAAATAGCAGCTCGTGAGAGTGCAGAAAAAGCCAAACTGTTCTCCGGCTCCTTCAATCCAGCCAAAGTTACAAAATACTGTGAATTATTATTGTTTAATAAGATTTAATACACAGTAGCTTCATCTTTATGTGAGGGGAACCATATGGGGCCAAAACTTTGTCCCGTCAGTCTAGAGTGAAAGAAGAACTGGGAATGAGACGGCAGTGTGCAAACGTTTTTTTGTGTGTTGTTGCTCAGCACCTGCAAAACCTACTGATTGAGTCTTAAAACCTTATTAACACATAATTAGAAAGGTGTGGAAAGTCAAAACCTTTTAACTTTCTTCCACTACTCACTGTAGTTTCAGCTGACTGAATAGAATGGAATTTTATGCTAGATAACACATGCAAGCAATAATCACCTCCCTGAGCACATTGATTGATCAGTGAGGAATAATGCCCAGACAAGGTGAGGAGACCTCGGGCAGGGTAAAGATCTGTGCTTGTATTCTTTACACTTTATGATTGAAAGTGTACTTTTCAGAGCTAGATGTCTCTTCTGCTTCTCAGTTAACCTTGAATATCTCTGCAATACACACCACTGTCACGCCATCATTGAGCAGCGACTCCCCAAACACCAAAATGAAGAGGACCTCGTTGACATGGACTTGCTCAAACACAGCGATGACAGCTACTGGGTCCACAGCAGCAATCAGACTGCCGAACAGAAGATACTGCAGAAAACCGATGTCCAGGTCACCTTCAGAAGACAGGGCAGGAGATACACTGAATCTGGCTTTCATTTACTGTAACTGTGCATTTGTAAGAGAGCAGGCACTTTACCCATCCTGAATCTATAACTGCTTTAAAAACCTATGTCAGGGTATTCTGAGCCACTGCCTGCTCTCTAATCACTTTATCAGTAGCACAGCGCTATGCCAATGGACGGCTTATGACACAACAGGCCCCTGGGAACTGTAGCTTTTGACGGAGGCCCCTCAATCTGAACATCCCAGAGTGATAATGACTCCTTTTAGTGTGTCAAGCAGCTCCCTAATATGAAATAAAGTGAAAGTCCCTCTTACCCATGGCTCCTCCCTTCTGACACCCCCACAGTGACAGCGCCAAGCTGGCAGCATTCCAGCAGGTCCCAATGATCGCATAGACCAGGATGCCCCCCAGGTTGCCAAAGAAGAGCTTGTTTGGCATAGAGTACCCTGTGTCTAGGATTATTTGAGGCAGCAGGAAGAAGAAGAATGTTCTTTGGCTCAGCTTGAATGTCTGTGCCAAGTCTGCACCCCAAACAATACCACCCAGGATAAAGCCAAAGCCAATGAGCAGGGCACTCTCTGGGATCACGTTGGTCACATGGTGGTTGGCCTCAATAACTGAGGGAAGACAAGACAGTAGTGGGTTTCCATACAAGAATCATCAAATGCAGATTTATAATAATTAATCATAAAGGGGAATATGGTCATTTACAGTCCTGTGGCTGGCAAACTGCAAAACTCCTTCAGTGGTAACCACATCATAAATCTAAAACTCTTGTGAGATTACAAAATTTGCAAATGATCAACTGTTCCACTTGGCTGTGAAAGTGTCACTTCTTGTTCTGGGAATATAATTAACCAGCCTGGTGGTGCATTTAAAACTTCACAAATATCTCTGCATAACCAAAACCAGACTTTAACTTAAGGCTACTTCACTTAATGTCCTGACAAAGTGTCACAGAAGCTTATGTAATAATAAAACCTACTTAGTCATGACAGTCAACTCATTGATTCCTTTTTTCCAGCCCACAGGCCATGACACTTATTATGTTTCATCCAAAAGTAGTTGAAAATTAAGTGACATGTCGATGCTGTGTTTAGATTTGTGCTTGAGTCTGGGTTCAAAGGAGATAAAAGGACAAGTAGATCAATGAAAACATTAAATATGGTGCATTTTAGCACACAGGTTTTGCAGTAAGATCAAATATTAACCAGTGCAGTGATTCTAAACCTACTGACAATCTGTGGAGTTTCTAACACAGGACAAACATAAAGAAAAACAGAAGATACTCTTCTGTTCTTTAGAACAGTAAGCTGTGCTGATAACGCTGTTTGTTACAATATGCAAAATATCACCCTGTTCCAAAACATACTTTCACATTAAAGGCCCTGAGAATCTATGTTCTCAGTCAGGCTCTTAATATGAGAGAGGGAGTCCAACATGAATAAAACAGTCTGTCAGAGTTAAAACACTTTTGGTTACTTCACTTCAGACTGAGTGCTTTGGTATGTAGTCATGAATATTTAACCTTATATACAGTGGTAGAAGAAGTACTCAAATTGTTGACCTATGTAAAAGTAGCAGTACCATAGTGTAAAAATACTTTGTTACAAGTAAAGGTTCTGCACTGGCATCAAAAATATACTTAAAGTACCAAAGCTAAAAGTATTCATTATGCAGAATAGCACATTTTACATTATTGTATATCATAGTATTGGATTATAAGTATTGGTGCATTATTGTGCACATTTGATCACATTTAATGATGCAGCTGGTAAAGGAGCTCATTTTAACTACCTTACATGCTTATAATTTGAAGTACTGCTGAGTATTTTGTTAATCCCCAACCAGGGCTCGATAAAGTTAAGTCAAAGTATGAAGTAGTGGAAAATGAAAATACTCAAGTAAAGTGAAGATACCTTAAAGGTATGCTTTAGTACTATACTTGAGTAAATGTACTTAGTTACTTTCCACCACTGGTTATAGAAACGATTAAGGTTTCAAACTAAAAGCTATTCCCAGATGCCTTGCTGGCAGCTCCACTGCATCAGTGTGTGTGTGAATGGGAGGCAGACTGTGTAGCGCTGTCAGTGCGGTCCATTCACCAGTGCCTCTTTTAGAAACCTATATTCTGTTTAGAAAATGTAAGAAATACTATAATGTTAAAAAAAATCATTCATGCAATTGTAGTAATGCTTTTGGTTCGTGTGTATGGTTTTTGTGCGTGTGTGTGTGTGTGTGTGTGTGTGTGTGTGTGTGTGTGTGTGTGTGTGTGTGTGTGGCAGGATTACAGACAAACAGCTAGATGGACCATCAGCCTACTTGGTACAGATGTTGATGGGGACCAACCCTAGAAGTGATTTTAGCTGAAAAAGGTCAAAGGTCACAAAAAATAAAATAAAAAAATCCCGCCACCCCCATATTTAACACGAGGTAAAAATCAAATCTCCATCAAAAGAAATTTGATACACATACTGTATGTAGGGTGGCAATGTCTATCACCAGACCAGATTTGGATTCTGGATCTGACGGCCATTGAAAGTTAACACTGAAAACCCAATTTAATGCATATTTTCTGCTATAACTTGACCTATAATGAAGATAGAACCATGAAATGGTAAGATGCACAGTATAACTGGATCTGATCCAGATCAAAGATTTTAGGACACATTTTGTCTTGTTCTGAATCTCATTTTTCACAAGGGACCCATTTGTGTGATCCATTGTTGTACCTTGGCAGAGCTACATGCACTCTCTGAGTGCTATTGTTTAACAGGAGGTGGGCTGAAACTATCTCAACACATCTTTTGTGACAGAAGAATCTGTCTGACTGCAACATCTAACAGGCTAAAGCTTTGCTATTTGGGCCATTCTTCTTTTCTCATCACATATCATCAATAGTTATCCATGATCCAAAGCTACTAATCTACATCATTAAAAAAACATTTTTTAGCACATTTTATGTGATAAAATGTGTTACATACCCATTTTAGCCAAACCAGCCACCAGTATCCACAATGCAATTAGGTAAGGAGTCTCCACATGGTCCCAGCGAAACCTCACAATGGGTATTCCTGTGATGTTGGAGCCACTTTCATCCTGACTCAAGTTGGACTTAAAGTCTGACAGCTTCAGATGGGGTTCTTGATGTGTGAGTGCCAGTTTATCCTTCATGCTTGTGGCCGCTGAGACAAGGTGGATCAGCAGTACTGGCCCCAGCACCCAGAGGTGCACACATCCACAGTGGTGCATTTGATCAAAGAAGTAGAACAAATGGATTGAAAAGAGATGTCCCTTTGCCTTTGCTGGAACAACCTCACATGTCAAGGTGGCAAAAGTGTCAAGGCTGAACTTCCAGACAATATGTTTCTGGGTTTGTGCTTCTTCTGTCTTACTCACTCTTTTTTACTATCTTATCACTGCTTTTCCTCATCCTTTCCCTCTAATGCTCCATCTTTCTACTTCAGTCTGTGACTTTGTGTTCTCATTCCTCCTGGGAACTGTGGCCTGCAGCAAGCAGGGAACTCAGAGGTGTGCAGAACATTGAGTTAAGCCTTTTATATGTACAGTATCTCCTTTATAACCTGTGTGTTTAGCTTGGATGATTAAAGGAGGAGGAACGGATGTCCATGAAAGGTCTCCAGTTATTCACTCACATTGCTCTGGTTGTGCTTTCTTCTATTTAGCACATCCTCACAATTTTTTTTAGTGTGTGTCTGGGAGTTAGGGTGTGAGTGATAGTGCAGAGGTCATTCGATAGGTGTTGACTGAATACCTGCATGTGTGAGCATAGGAACATTGCAACTCATACCTCAGCGGTTAGTAATGATTGACGCTGATGTTACTCAATCTTGGTTAAAAACTCCCTTAACATGAGACAAAGCTGTCCTCCAGCATTTCCTTAAAAAAAAACTACCACTATAAATTGATGCAGCTATAATTCAGTTAACAAAACTTATTCTGTTGTTTAAAGCCAATGATTAACTCAACACAACTCAGTGGACTAATTTAAACTCTCAGAACTTTGTCTTTATATTTTTGTAATTTGTACCAAACAACTTGGTTCTTTCCAGAAAACTTTCAAGAAATTGATAGGAAATAGCAGACCTCTAAAGCAAAGCATTACCAAAATATTTATGGAGAATGATACTGACCAAAGTCCATAAAAAGCCCAAAACCAAAAATGGATTGTTTCTATTGGAAAATACTGCCTGCGTGGTTACAGCCTGATGGCGTTTATTCTTCTGTGCCACAGAGGCAGCTTTATTTGTATAGGACTCTTTAAAGAACAAAATGTTACAAAGTGCTTCACAGAAACACTTAGTACACAAAACGTCAAACATGGACAGAAAAAAGAAAGAAAGAAATACATTCATACAGCCACTAACAAGACACAATAACATATCACATCATCAAAAAAAATCATAATAATAATCTTATCTGATCCCCTCTAAGCTTAAGCCTAGACCTCCAACAGAAACTGGTTGGCCAACCTGAGGGCTCTTCCTGGTAAGTGAAGATGTACCAGCTCCATTGTTTTCCAAAAACTATTCAAAATGCGTCCCTTTGGATAACGTTTCTTCACTGTGTGTATTTTGTACATACGACGTCCTGCTGCAGTAATTGCACCAATTGTGTATTAACTAAAGGTTAGAGAAGCGAGCTTGTTCAGTCCTTGGACTGGCAGGAATAAATTTGTGTGGGACAAGATGACAAAGCAGCATTTGCCCCACCCTCATTAACATCACTGTGGTGCCCTTGAACAAGGCCCCTAACTCCAGCCACTCCAGTGGAGCTGCCCAGTGGCCACAAGTCAGCCTGTAATTGAACTTCCAAGTGTGAATGTGTAACTGCGTGAAGGTGATCAGTTTTCTAAAAACTACAGCACCCAGCTCACTAGGGAATTACTACACTTAAATATAAAAGTGTATAGTTATGACCTGTCTTCTGTAGGAACAAATATTCATGGGGCTGAGTAATGAGACGGGGGAGTCTATAATTAATAGGAGCTTTGTTGATGGTAATAAAAAAAACACAGAATAATACCAGGCTTACACACCATTTAAAATGAAGCCAACTTAGGTTCGCACATTACTGGTAACACAATCATTTTGCCAAGGTGAAGGTATATTAGCTTAAATTGTGAGTCACTAGATCCGTGATATTATAACTGGATGTTTTCTAGCAAACTGTCCTATTTGAGCAGGACAAAGGACAATAGCCTCACTGATTAGATGGGTTGTTTCGATGAGTTGACATGTAAGATCTCTCACAGGTGTTAGCGTGCATGTCCCTGCTAAGAAGTTCCTGTAAGCAACACAAATAACTGATATGGAAACAAATTACGTGTGGTAATATTTGGTAAATAAATTACTGTTTTCACTGTGGAGTTCATATAATTGAACTTGTGTTTTCCTAAGGGAGATTTACAGCATTTAAAATATGTCAGAAACCAACAACACATCTACAGTATCAGATACTGTAAATAGCTGCTTTAATTAATCAGTAGAACAAACTTAGCAATGGTCATCACATTATGTAACTGGATGAACATTTAGCTGCACAGCCTGCACAGTCAAGCATGAACTCCCCTGTTCACCCATATTAACTAATGACTCCGAATATACTGCCAAACAGTGGCTGCCTTCTAACTTCATGCTTTCAATGATTTTAAAACAGCCACAGCTCGGTGCACACTTCAGAGAGAGGTCAACTTCATGGTGAAGTGGAGGGGTCAAATAAAGGCTATTCTCAGAGTGGGAGGTGCAGTTTCTCTATTATGGTTTGTTACATCAAGCTGTTATGAAAAACTTACTTTTGCTCAATAAAATGTATCATATGTGACGCACCCACCAAATGCTTTAGCAGTAAATTTAGACAAAATATTTTACTGTATATTCATTTCATTATACTATAGCTTTTCATTTTGAGATTATTCTGAGATCTGAGGAGTCACCATCTTGATAAGGAGCAGCCAACAAGGCGTGAGAGCAAATAAGAAAAAATGTTCCCTTGTTACTGACCTGGAAGATTTAATAACTAAGAAAATGGGCTTGAAAACATTTAACCTCCACTTCTGAAATGCAGAATAATTCCATTATGATTCTATAAAATGTCCAAATGAAGTCAGACCAGAGACATTATGTTCATACACTGACTGAAACAGGAAGCTTTCCAGTCCATGCACAGACAGGTGGAAAATGAAAGGCAAACCCTGACTAACAGAGTGGTCTCCTCCAGGATGACAGTGCCCCTGTCCACAGGGCACGAGGGGCCACTGAATGGTTTGATGAGAATCAACATGATGTGAAGTGAGATGATGGAAGAAAGCAAGCATTGTAAATCTGCAAAGTTAAGTACAGGCTGACATCCTGTTACAGGCCTGTTCTTACTGAATAATCAAACATTTATGAATCCCATTATCTCCATATCCATTAAAGGTGATTGTTTATATTAAATCCCAGATTTAGCAGGAACTCTTCTTCCTCCAGTGTTTATTGTATGTTACGGTTTGCATTTTACACACCCTGTGCCCTATCTAAACTCTAAATTGCTTCAAGGAAACGTGAGGATTGTGGTTTATTGTTGATGATTTTGATCTGCTGTGTTTTGCAACTCTTTTAATTAAGGACACCCTTTTAAAAACTATAGCTGAAAATCTGTGTATTTTTTAGAGATAAATTGTTCCTGAGTTTAAGGTGTTTAACCTTGTCAACTAGCAAAATGTGGGAACAATACTTTCCACAGAAACTCCACAGACAAACATCAGTGGCTACATAAACAGCAGCTAAAATATCTGTAACACATTTCCTTTGTTGTCACTAATAAACTCTCTGGCAGGTTACTTTCAGCACAAACACTGTTGCAATATTTTGAGCCTGAGGCAGCACAGATCAACACTGAAGTTGTCAAAACTCACTTATCAATGTGATTTCTAGGCAGCTACTGAGTAATTTCCTGCATCATAAGCAGACAACTACTGCCCCATATTTATGTCAGTGGTGTCCACAGTGCTGCAACCCATTTGTGTCTGTTGTGTATTCACAAAATAATGACCATGCTTTGTAATCACAACATGTATTAATGTGGTATTTGATGGAGGTCAAGCTCTTGTTAGCCTCCCATTTATGTCTATTTCATTATTTCACAAGTGTCCAGGTCCAACCAAAGCGTGTGACTCACATTCTTGCTCAAGACTTTGATGAGAAGCTTGCCACTGCTCTAATGTCTGTAAAATGAATATGAAGCTCACTAATCACCACCTTGTATCTTGTTAGTTTTATCTGGGAGCAGTACCTGGAATGTCTGCTACACCTGCCCATGAAATAAAAGCAGAGCTTGATATTCTTACATTTTTTGAACTGAATAAACAAACAAAAAGAAAACATGCTGAGCTTTTGAGGTACTGGCAGGGAGATTGGGCAGAACTAGGTTAACTGTTTCCACCAGTTTCTAGTTTTTATGCTAAGCTAATCTAACCAACTGATGGTGGTGTATGTATAGCTTCATATTTACCATACAGACATGCTCGTGGTATTGGTCTTCTCATATAACTCTCAGCAAGAATGCAAATTCCAAAATATAGTGGATTAGACAAACTGCCTCTTATGGTCTATTAAGTATAAAATTATATATGAAGCTTCTCAATTGAAATTCCAAAAATCACTATATCACATCAAATGGTAGTATAAAATGATATATAAAGTAATAGCAAGTTTTATAGATTTGACCTTTGGAGGAAAATAACACATTTATTAATCAAGGGCTGTACTTAAGTACAACTTTAAGGCACTTTACTTTCCAGTTTATGCTGCTTTATTTTCTGACTTCACTTTGAAAGGACAATGCTTTAGTCTACCTTCATGAATATAAATGAGGTGGTTGAAATATTAGAAACACCTCTCAGTATGATGCAATGCCATTCTGCAAACAAGTACTTTTGCTTTTGATGCTACATTTTGGTTAGTACTAACAAACTTTTTAGGATGCAGTGACAAAGATCCTAATCAGTCTAATTAGGCCATCAACTACCTAACAACATGTAGTTTATCACAAACACAATGTTAAAATCTCTTTCTAGGCCACCATGTTGCTTTGGATATACAGTAAAGTCAGGACAGATCAGCACTCACTGAGTTTGCAGAGCCAGCAGACAATGATCCACAGGGCCACCAGGTACGGTTCAGAGACATGTTCCCACTTCCAGGAAACGATGGGTAAGGTGGTGAGGGTCACGTTCACTTCACTCCCGCTGTCCGAGCTTGAGGCGGCTTCACCATGACTGCCTGATCTTGTGTCTTGCTTTGTGTCTACAGGCTCTATCTTATTGCCATCACTGGCCAGGCTCAGGCCTCTGGACACCATCAGCAGAAGCATGTAGAGGGAAAGTGCTGATCGCCAAGTGGTTGCCATGTTTGAGAAAATACTTCACAAAGCCTTTGGGGACCTGCTTTCAAATACTGATTCAAGTGCTCAGGTCAACCCAGACTGAAAGTCTCTCATAGTTCTCCTGTGTCTCCTACTTTCTTAGGTCTTTTTCACGTTTTCTCACATACTTCCAGACCTATATGTAACCAGAGCATGATGTGGCCTCCTCTCTGCCCAGAATACAGCTTTTTACAGCAGGTGAAGTTCAGCCCATCCTGATGTTTGTTCGTCTCCTCCCACTGTACCTACAGTAGACCAGCTAGTTTGACCACTTTAAAAGATTTGGTGCACTTATCCTTTTTCACTGGCTGTGAATGCTTCATATGTTCACTGATGTTACACTTTTTATTTGAAACTAACTCTAAAATATTCTTACTTGAGAAGCATTTAAGCATGTTTAAAGTCCTTTATTAGACTCACTTCAAAAGAATATTGGTGCAATTCAACTTGATATGAATGTGGCTGAAAGTTGGAATGGGTAAAATTCCACTTTTTTGTCTCCCATGTTTTATTTTCCTAATTTTATTCATGATTAATGACAAACTGCAGTTGTTTGCATTTGTTTCTTGTAATATATTGGTTAGTTTTTCCACCTCAGGCACCAGAAAATTGTTTAAGCAAACAATCTGAGAAGAAGAAAAAAAATGAATGCAGCTTATTGTGAAGAGTTGCAAAGACTTTATTTCATTTATGGGACCTCATGCCAAAAAGGCTGGAAACTATTGATCTAAACCACTTATTTTAAAGTGACAATGAAGGTAAACACTGACATTAATAACCAAGCTTTTGAATGTAACTGTACGTTCGAATATTACTAAACTATTTTATCACAACAGGTGTGCATGGACACGTAGCCAAGGTGCAGCTGAAATAAATAATACATGTAAGTAAAATCACTTTAATTTCGCTTAGATATAACTGGGCTACACATTATCAGATGCCACTGCATATGCAAATTGCAGCAGTAAAACTGAGTCAGATTTCATCAAAAGGGATAGAAATAGTAACCAAAGCTCCAATGAAATCCCATTATAGTTTTATCATAATCATTTTTATGTGTGTTTAGCTCATAATAGATTACAAATACAGAAAACAAGGAAGAGAGATGCAGCAGAGATTCCTGTCCAGATTCAAACTACCCAGGGACAATGCAATCACAGTATCACTTTCCAGTGTATTAGGTACACCTGGCTGAAACTAATGCTTTTAATACAATAATATGGTGGACAAAATAATAGCAATAACAAATACCACTTGTCAGTACAATGCAGCACAGTTCAACAGAACTACTACTTCTAAAATGATCATTGGAGGAGTTTTCCTGAGAGTTTCATATGCTGTAAAGATTGAGGCAAATTTGTGATTTGTGATATTAGTCTAAATATAAAGAAAAAAGAAAGAAAGAAACAGATTCTACATTTTTATCATGTGTCCTAATCTTATTTCATGTACAGTGTGTTATCACTACTTGGAATCCTTGGAGATATCTCAATTGGACCCTACTGGTTAAATAATAAAATGAAGTGATTCACCCTCCAGGTAGCTTCCTTTTTGTAAAACAGACCCTTTGATTCCCATGACAGTGTGTGCATGTGCTTCTCAGAGTTTTATATAAATGTAGACAGTATGTATCTAATAACATGAAAGCAAGAAGGCAGCTTGACCCATTTGTCTCCCTCACTGGACAGGACTACCTGTTCCCTGAACATCCCCTTCCTTCCCACAATGCACAGCAGCGACTGTGTTGAGCCTTTATTGCCACTATACATGTGTGTTTAGCTGACAGACACTTGTAAATGGACCATACTTTGAACTTCATGTTTTTTTTCCATGACTTGTAAATCAAAGTTTATCTCCCAGCTGATCATAATCTCTTTAGTTACAATTTAAACAGTCATATTAGCTCCAATTCTTAGCACAGGGGACCTCAGGGTAGGTTACTTCACTCTCTCACTCTGGAGAAGTCGGGTTCTGAATCTGGGACACATAAGGAAACATGCAATCGGTGCCTTTCCATAAATCCAGTATTTAACAAAAGTCCTCAAAAACAAATGTACCCAAAATTTGTTTTCTGCTTTTGTATGTTCACAAAAAAGGCATATTTACAAAAGTATTCAGACTTTTAATTCAGTACTTTGTAGAGGCCTCTTTGGCAGCATTTACATCTTGGAGTCTTCTTGGGTATGTCTCTACAGGCTTTGCACACCTGGACTTGAACAATTTATTTTGTTCTTCCTGGCAGATCCTCTCAAGCTCTGTCAGAATGGATGGAAGCGCCTGTGATTTGCCATCTTCAGGTTTCTCCTCGGATATTCTATGAAGTTTTAAGTGGGCCCCTCAGGGACAGTCAGAGATTTGTCCTGAAGCCCAGGTCATAGCCATGCTTACGTTTTACATGTCAACAGCCCAGTAAAGTGTGGAAAAAGTGAAAGAGTCTGAAATGGCCATGCCTTCACAACATGACAAAAAGACCAGTGAAGATCCAGATTAGAAGATTTTTTATTCTAAAAACATTTTAAAAATTCAAAAAGACAAAAACACTAAACTGCCCAAATGTTTTAGTGTTCCAGTTCAGTAAAATCAGGAAATGTTCAGGATTTCTCCTAGATTTGCACCAAAATTTTAATCTTAACATGACCAAAATTTCCACCTAAATTGTTTAAACAAACTCATGTTCTACTAACTATAAAAATGAAGAGGACCTTTAACATGACCTCTTCAGCAGAGGTAATAGTTTCTACAGTAGATTTTTAGACAAGTTCTCTCCGTGTGCTCCGGCTTCCTCCCACAGTATAAACATATGCAGCTTAGGTTGACTGGTGACTTTGAATTGCAGATATCGGATGTCTCATAGAATCAAAATCAGCTTTATTGGCCAGGTGTGTCGGACACACGAGAAATTTGACTCTGGTACATCGGCTCTCAATGTGTATGTACATATCCCCATGCAAGGGGCAAGTAAACAGTAAACCAGCATAACGCTGTGTAATATAACAAAATATGCAGTATTAACAAGCAACGACCAGTGCAAATGATGCAAAATAAGCAGTATAAACAGGCAGTAAACAATGCAGACAAACAGAGGAACACTCATTGAAATGAGATAAATAGGAATAAAACAGAGTACTTAAAACTAGAGACCTGTACAAATCTGTATAATTTGTATAATGTATTGTTAGATATTAGTAAATCAGTCAGATAATTATTAGACATTAATGTGTTAGTAATGCAGTTTACTAAGATTCAAAGCCTGCTCTAGTCTGCTCTGTTTCAAGGTTAGAAGACAGTGTTGATTCTGAAATGTGAGCTACAGTTACCTTGACACCAGTTGTGTTTTTGTATTCATCCCATGTTAGAATTATGTCTGAGTGAATGTTTTAGTTACGCACCACATGACAACACATACACACGTTGAAATTCTTCATTTTAGTTATGATTAGTGCTTGAAGCATGTGGAGCATAAGATAAGAGAAGGAGACGTCGGACTGTCTCCATCTCGTGATGTTTTGTCATTTTTCTTGTGTAAGGGGTTAGCCCAAAAACGTATAAATGTATTAGGCTCTGTGTTTCCGAGAGCTCTTTTTTCCAGCAGCCTGCCTGTGGATGTTTGGAGGAAGGAGCCACCCAGGTTGTGTTTTGTAACTTTGCTTGTGGTTTAAATAAATCAGCACTAAAATGAAGAAAGACGGACTCCTTCATTATTCAGATCTGTCCAATAAAAGAACTGGGGTATTACAATATATTTATAGGTATTGCACTGAGGGTTATTGTCCAGTCATACTGTCATTGGTTAAGTGTTCATCAGAGTGATGGCCTGGGGGAAGAAACTGTCCCTGTGCCTGGTTGTCTTGGTGCACAGTGACCTGTAACGCCGTCCAGAGGGGAGGAGTTCGATCAGATTATGTCCCGGGTGTGAGGGGTCTGCAGAAATCTTCTCTGCCCTCCTTTTGACCCGTGAGGTGCACAGGTCCTCCATGGAGGGCAGGTTCACACCAATGACCTTTTCTGCAGTCCTCACTGTCCGCTGAAGTCTGTACTTGTCCTGTTTGGTTGCTGAGTCAAACCAGACAGTGATGGAGGTGCAGAGAACAGACTCGATGATTCCTCTGTAGAACTGTATCAGCAGCTCCTGGGGCAGGTTGAACTTCCTGAGCTGGCACAGGAAGTACATCCTCTGCTGTGTCTTCTTGGTGATGGTCCCGATGTTGTACGCCCACTTCAGGTCCTGGGAGATAGTGGAGCCCAGGAACTTGTAGGACTTTACTGCTGATACAGTGCTGCCAAGTATGGTGAGGGGGGTAAGGTGGGAGGGCTCTTCCTGAAGTCCACTGTCATCTCCACTGTTTTGAGCGTGTTCAGCTCTAGGTTGTTGCGATTACACTACAGGACCAGCTGCTCAACCTTCCATCTGTAGGCTGACTCGTCATCGTCTCGGATGAGACCAATGACCGTTGTATCATCAGCAAACTTTAGGAGCTTGACAGAGGGGTCCTTCGAGCCTAAACTATTCATCTATTACAGAGCTGAGACAATTTGATCAATCAATTTGACAAGTTTGACTTTTAAAACCTTTTAAGTTTTAAGAGATTTTGAGTTTTAAACTAGTCAGACACAACCAGCTATCTGAAGACCTCATCTTCGGCTCTGAGAAATTTTGATGTACATAGACTAAATGATTAATCACTGGCCAAATAATTCACAGATTTTTCAATAATAATGTTAGTCATTACTTTAAGTCCTAACTTAGTGATAATAAGGGCCATGTAGGCAGCTCAATACAATGGATATCTGTGCACACACTAGAAAAATACACAATGATACTTGAAACCTACTTAACTTCTACAGTAAACAGTGTGAGAGTTAACTTGCAAATTATGTGATGGGAAAGTTTACAGAAACGAAAGCTGAGTCACACACAGAGAGAAACATTAGTAAGACAATGAATATACTGCCCATTTAGTAATTTTCTCATTCTTACTTTTTTC